TGACCCAGTGAAAGTGAACAAATGGGGGACAGGTTTCCGCATCAGCTCGACCTCTTACCTGCCGGAAACTGGATACCTTCTAGCCTGACTGCTCTTCACTTCAGTGTCATTATCATTGGTGAGAATTGCTATCACTGGCGTGTGTTTCCTTAGCAGCATCTGGTCTGCTCTACACCTGTTGGGGTGAACTGTTTCGTCGTGCCGAGACCATATACAACCTTGTGTGTCCTCACCTCAGTCGGGCACCTTTTCCGGAAGTTATGCCAGTCAAACCTGTCCTCAGAAGTGCCTCTGCCTCCAGCTTGGCAGAGCAGGCTTCAGTTGACGTGGTTCAGGCATTAGACTAGGATTTGTAACGGCTGTCGCCTCCTCGAAAGGAGGAGAAGGTGAGGGGTCGAGCCTAACATCAGGTGTGTGATAGTCCGTATAAGCATGTGTGCAAATGTGTGTTTGTGTCGATGGTTGACAGGCTGATGACTGTGTGAGACTGAGTGTGAAACAGCTAGATGGCCAGATCCATGGATGAAAAGATAGAAAGATGTAAGTGCAATTCGATAGCCTGTGGACAGAAAGAGGACACTCGGGTTTTTATGATAAATGAATAGTAGTCTGAAGCAGCCGTATGGTTCTCCCGTTTCTGTAACTATACTTACTGAAAGTATGAGCTCTTGTCCGCATCTGTTGGTCGGGGCACTAAGAGCTTAAAAAGAGGTCCATGAAAGAAAGAAGGTGAGCTATGCTTGTGCGGCATGCCAAAAATCCGTACATGAAATATTGAGAGAGGACTCAAAACAGAGTTAGTCAGTTTGAAGATACCAAATTTGGAGATTGTCTACTTTTCGCATATAGTCTTCTGTCAACACACCCCAAGAGAGAAAGTCTGGCGATGTTGGAGGTGGGATAGTCTCAGCTGCGTCACTAACATATCTTGTTTGAAAAGTCCTGATGTGCATGCATTACAATGGTTGCCAGGGCTAAATGTCTGCAATGGTGGCAATCGCCATGGTAAGTTTTCTGCACTGCGAAGGTCGACAATAATCGCACAAAAAGCTATGTGAATAATTCGATACGATGAGTACATATTGGCAAGTCTTCACAATTGAGTCAGTACTCCCCCCGTTTCACACAAAAGCACACCATATCCCCCGGAATAACGGTCATTCTGAGCTTCCGCAGGGTGACAAATAACTTGCGAATTTCATGCCTAGCAGACGCATCCAACTTCATCCGATCCACCCCAGAGCCGTGATTGAGTAATGCCGAATGGTATTGACCATAAGCTGGTGGTACGAGACAAGAACGGTGTAGACCATTTAATTTTGTGACGACTGGATACTGGGAGCCCGGCCAAATATTTCTACGTGTTGACAACCTACATAATGTCAACTAGTCTGAGGAGTGAAGTTGCAGCAAATCAATTGAAAGCAGTAACGCGAGGAAGTGTGTAGTGAGCATGACATGGAGTCTATCACCCCTTTGGGTGTGATTGAAGCACACCTATCAAACGTAGTATGCTCAAGCAGTAAAGGTAGTATGCATAGACACAGAATTGCGGATTGCTCCCGCTGCCGAATGCACGCCAAATCAAAACAAGCCCAGGAGAATTACTCCAAATGCAAAAGCCTATAATTTTTGTTGAAAATCATGTTTGGGGGACGATCCTATTTCGCTTAAGGTGCTAGGGGTACGGTAGTTGAATTTTTTCACAATGCTGAGTGGACCTCACGTTTACAATAAATTTCGCACAGCCTTGCTTCCCAAAAGGTGTCCTCATTAAGGTGGGAGGAGTGGTCTATATTTTCGACCTCGCCTATGCCCTATCAACACCTCCAGTAGGACTCGAACCATGACAGTACAACGATCGTCTCCACACGTTAACCGCCACACGAGGACGCGGTACTCTGTATGTGGACATGAACGAAATCAATCAGAAAATCGACGCGTTTGCCGCTCCTTTTCTGCGTGTAGACGCAAAAATGTGAAAAAAAACACTCACGACACTCGCTTTTTTAGGGACACTCCGAAGAGGATACGCCTACTAGGTTGTTGTGTCCTATCCCAGCATCGGACCACAGCTTGTCAAGGCGACAGACCAGCCTTTGTTATTCGCGTAACTCAACCATAATCAGACAACAGCCTTTTGGGTCGTCGCTAAACTCGCAAGTGGGTTTCAACCACAATACCCCCGAGCACCTGACTATATCACACAAAAGCCCGTCACTTGGCAACCCTTGAGAGTTGTTGTTTGGTCCTGATGATGGCGCAGCCGCCTGACGACACCGACGAAACACCGGGGCATGCATCAGTCAAGTTCCCGATGCTCATGGATGACATGACGACAAGGGCAGAATGGACGAAATG